TTTGACGAGCCGCGGAATGCCGCATCTGATCAACGAGTGCGAGAGAGATAGAGGATAAAACGGCGGCTTGTCAAAGCCGAGTGGTTCCCTTTGACGTGCCGCATCTGAGCAATGAGTGCGAGAGAGAGCGACGACAAAACAGCGTATCGACCGATCCAAGTTGAGCCTTACTCCCCGTTTACGGCCGTTGTTTCCCGGGCTCACGGTCGGAAAGGACTCCGGTGCTTTTGCCCCCGGGGCGGCGGGGCACTACCACGGCGGACGAAATTATGAGGCCCAGCCTGTATTTTCGCGAGAGTGTGTGTTTCCCTTTGACGAGCCGCGGAATGCCGCATCTGATCAACGAGTGCGAGAGAGATAGAGGATAAAACGGCGGCTTGTCAAAGCCGAGTGGTTCCCTTTGACGTGCCGCATCTGAGCAATGAGTGCGAGAGAGAGCGACGCTAAAACAGCGTATCGACCGATCCAAGTTAAGCCTTACTCCCCGTTTACGGCCGTTGTTTCCCGGGCTCACGGTCGGAAAGGACTCCGGTGCTTTTGCCCCGGGGCGGCGGGGCACTACCAGGGCGGACGAAATTACGAGGCCCAGCCTGTATTTTCGCGAGGATGTGTGTGTCCCTTTGACGAGCCGCGGAATGCCGCATCTGATCAACGAGTGCGAGAGGGATAGAGGATAAATCGGCGGCTTGTCAAAGCCGAGTGGTTCCCTTTGACGTGCCGCATCTGAGCAATGAGTGCGAGAGAGAGCGACGACAAAACAGCGTATCGACCGATCCAAGTTGAGCCTTACTCCCCGTTTACGGCCGTTGTTTCCAGGGCTCACGGTCGGAAAGGACTCCGGTGCTTTTGCCCCGGGGCGGCAGGGCACTACCAGGGCGGACGAAATTACGAGGCCCAGCCTGTATTTTCGTGAGTGTGTGTGTGTCCCTTTGACGAGCCGCGGAATGCCGCATCTGATCAACGAGTGCGAGAGAGATAGAGGATTATACGGCGGCTTGTCAAAGCTGAGTGGTTCCCTTTGACGTGCCGCATCTGAGCAATGAGTGCGAGAGAGAGCGACGACAAAACAGCGTATCGACCGATCCAAGTTGAGCCTTACTCCCCGTTTACGGCCGTTGTTTCCCGGGCTCACGGTCGGAAAGGACTCCGGTGCTTTTGCCCCGGGGCGGCGGGGCACTACCACGGCGGACGAAATTACGAGGCCCAGCCTGTATTTTCGCGAGTGTGTGTGTGTGTCCCTTAGACGAGCCACGGAATGCCGCATCTGATCAACGAGCGGAGAGAGATAGAGGATAAAACGGCGGCTTGTCAAAGCCGAGTGGTTCCCTTTGACGTGCCGCATCTGAGCAATGAGTGCGAGAGAGAGCGACGACAAAACAGCGTATCGACCGATCCAAGTTAAGCCTTACCCCCCGTTTACGGCCGTTGTTTCCCGGGCTCACGGTCGGAAAGGACTCCGGTGCTTTTGCCCCCGGGCGGCGGGGCACTACCACGGCGGACGAAATTACGAGGCCCAGCCTGTATTTTCGAGAGTGTGTGTGTGTCCCTTTGACGAGCCGCTTCTGGATTTTATGGGTTTAAGTGTAATTCAAGTTACCTAAAAATCCGAAATTCCCGCCAAAATTTGTACCAAACCCTGTAAAGTTCTGTATCGCGCTCCTTAAGTAAGTGTATCCGCAACGTTATCCAAAGCTTATAATTGAACCGTTGGTTTTTTACGAAGACATGAAACGCAGATATTTTCTTTAGCACATGCATTTGAATAATTCGCGGCTTAATTTGTATTTCCATCTGCGTTGAGTTGCTATTGCTGCACTGTTGCTACATGGACTTGTATTTAGAACGTTTTTAAAAAAATCAATAAAACTGACTGTGATTTGAAGCTTTGTTTTTAGTCTTCGTAATGACCGGAAAATACTTTAAAAAAAATCTCCATTCGCACAGGTGATCGACGAATCGGAGATATTTAAGATCTTGCTCGTTGCATTTTAATACCCTCGCAGAATTATATTCGATCACCAACACTGTTTTGCAGTAGCGGATAAACAATAACCTCAAAAACTATCACCATTCGATTGATTCCCGCCCAATGCCGACGCAAGAATAATGTCCGAGTTTATCTGTGATTATACATAGTATTTTGAGTTTTATATTAATTTCAACTCGACCTTAGACCTCTTTGGTAATTAATTGTAGTTATTATTACGATTAGAACTACCGCAATCGGGGAATTTCGTTGGGTAGTGTTCCGAATTCCGCGATACCCTCTGTCAGGGTCCAGCCTCTGATGGTGTGCATGATGTGATGCTCAAAATCTCCTAATGCAAGAACTTTTTACCTCGTGATAAATTACATCTTGAAGTCGTAAGTACTATAAAGAAACTCACAGACTTGTTTTTTGCCCATGATCTTATTTATTTGCACCTCATGAACGACTCCTAGAGCTTACATGCATCAGAGCATCAAATAAGTTCCCCCAATGCCTAGGCAGAAAGTAGAGAGGATAGAGGGTATCTTGATTAATGTGAAAGATTACACTCTAAAATCATTCGAATATTTCTTCTCTCAACATTATACACTGTTCAAAATCTTGATCTCAATCCGAGCACGTCCAGGTTGATTCCAACTAGCCTCGGAAAGAATATACCCGGTGAGTTGTTTACTACCCTGTGCAGAAGTATTTTCTGCGTTAGATCGTGTGTAATCTAGAAAATTATGGGCTGCTACTTATTAAGATTACACCTACAAGAGTTTTACAATTTAAAGCATTAAGTTTCGAACATCCCAATATATCAATAATATCAGAACATCCGAATCCACGTGTGAGTTGTAGAGGATATGCGAGCTAAGGAACTCGATGAAAGAGATTGGTCAGCTTTGTTCACTCTGAGGGGAATAGGAGTCTAGACTTGTGTATTATTGATATAATCTTACTGCTGCTTATATATTGAGTTAGGCTGAACCTCTCCACTTGTAACCCTATAATAGAATGAACCACAGCACTGGTTTGTCATGCATTCTAGAGGCAGCCAAGACTGGTCTTGCAGCAAATGCGCAGCTACTGGTAACAAGTGGAGGCATTTACATTCCTTTGCCACAGCCAGCAATCGCTGGTCCAATACTTTTAACCCTCTCCGTATTGCCATCACTCTCTATATTTTCTCTACAGCCTTGTGTCTACCTGTATTTCTATTGAAAACAGGATGTAGCCTCACTCAAAGTGATCAGTTTGTCTTTTAATGAAAAGAAGAGATGAAAGCAAAATGTCAAGATGAGTGTGGCATCGTAATATTGCTCGACTCAGAGCAATGGTTCATGTATCTAGCAGAAGCTATGCTGTTAAGTCCGGATGCGGCTACCTACCACTTGTGTGCTGTTGTTGATTTTTGATGATTGTTTGCATTGTTTTTGACATTTATCCACCCTCCTACTCTCTCCTGCTGAAGCAACAACGAAGGTAGTCTCAAATCTGGTTCAAAGAAGTTGCACCCCTCTATTTGAATGCATGATTTTTAAAACTTTGCTGTATATTTAGTGGAGATGCAGAATCTTCCACACGACCACATTTTCATGCTGCCGCTCGCCAACTGTCCACAAAATCTCCAACCAGTATCATCGGTGATGACCTTCACACTCCTTTTCCCTTCAAATCTCAACTTCTAAACGTAAAAAATTCTACTTCCCTCCACATTTTAAGGACCTTTCCAAGTTTTCACATGCCTTGCATATGATGGGGCACTTCCTGGACCCCCGTGATACACATCAAAATCTGGCGCCCTTAGCACCTGCTCTGATACAGGGACCCTAGTGTGGTCCACCTCACTCATCTTAAAGGCTGAATTCTCACAAAGCAGAGTCAGTTTGTTTGAGATCAAAGCAAAAAGCCACCTGTCAGGCGTAGATCATGGAGATCTTGTGTCCTAAGAAAGAAGTTGACTATCAAGTTAACAACGCAGTTTCAGTTTTACCCTGTACAATATTTATGGTGAAACCAGGATTGCAGAAATTGCATGTTGGTGGAAAAAAACGTGAAGACTCAGGAATTTTTGTCTCTTTTTTTTATTTTAAGTGCTCAAACTTTGCATTAGTATGGTACATATTCTTGGTGTCAAAAACTGTTCGACATTTCTTTTCCCTTTTTTTGTGTAAACAAGTAATGTGTGCTGTTCTTGATGCTTCATGATGTAAAGGCAAAAACCATTCCATACCCCAAGGTAAACGAGAATGGAAATGTTGCATGTGTGAGGGATTTGCGATTTGACTGTTGATCTTGACGAAACGATGGTGCCACTGGTTTTCTCTGAAATCATCTCCCAAGCTCAAAAAAAGCCCTCAAGTTGAGGCCAAGATGGAGGGGATATCCCACCCTACCCTGAGAGTCCACATCTACATCAGAACAAACTCTCCATGCGAAGATAGGGAGCAAATACATTGACAGGGCTGCCACTTTATTTGGGGACTCCAAAACTGAAAACACTGCAACCCTGCTAATGTATTTGCTCGCTATCTTTGCATGGAGAGTTTGTCTTGATGTAGAGGTGGACTCTTAGGGTAGGGTGGGATATCCCCTCCATTTTGGCCTCACTTTGAGAGCTTTTTTTGAGCTTGGGAGTTGATTTCAGAGAAAACCAGTGGCACCATCGTGTTTCTTGCGAACTTTTACATAAGAATCTACAGTCAAATCGTAAATTCCTCACACATGCAACATCTCCATTGTGTTGCTTTACAATTCTTGCCTCTACATATTCTTTCAAGAACTCTTGTTCAATTTCTTGGTACAAATTTTTCAGAGAGTGTTTATTCTCAATAAAAAGTTCTGAGAAAAATTATACGGAATATTGAACTATGAAAGCAATTAGTTGTCCTTCCAAAAAGTGAATTTTGCCAGAGAATCTGAACAATTGCAAAAGAAAAACTGCAAAACTCTAATTTACTACTGTACTTTTTTCAACAATGCCAATATTTACAGTTTTTAATTACGTCTAATTTCCAAAATGTATCCATTTCATGAAATGTTTGCTCATTAAATCATTGTTTCAGCAATCATTAATGTCTCATTTTCTTAACAGGCCACAATGAAAAATCTAACCCACTACTTCCAACTAGCCAAGAGTCCGTCTGAGGAGGCTGCCTCTGGTTCTAATGTAAGCACTGAGGAAACTGCAGAGTCTAAGGAGAAAACGAGAGATGAAGACATATCCATTGTATCCAGCAAATCCCCTGCTAAACCGAAAAAGCTAAGTCTTAAGTCCAGGAAGTCTCAACAAGACTCTAAGTCAGATGGAAATAGCACCCCAAAAATTGCGAGCCCTGACTCTACAGTTGACACATCGGAAAAGAAGACACGTAGAAAGCGAAGTGAATCTTCTAAAACCTCTGAAAAGATGATAAAAAACTCCTTAAAGGGGGGCAGTCCGCAAAAAACGTTTAAAACCTCAATGCAGGACATATTACAAAAAGTTCTGAAGAAAAAATTCCCTGATGGTGAGTACAGTCTTCCTGATTTAAACAACAAAACCACAGATGAGGCTGCTTCAATGAATTTTGACTTAGATGAAACAGATGAAGATGTCAAATTATCTGAAGAAATTTCAAGTTCTATCACCCCAAAGAAGAGAGGTCGCAAGCCAAAAAATGCTAAAAAAGAAAGCAATACATCACCCGGTAAAAATAAATTAAGTTATGAAGAGTTGGAAACGGAGCTCTTAAAAGAGAGACTTTTACTCCAGAAATTGAAAGAAACGTTTCTAGCCAGTAACCCAGATGAAGAGTCTTTAGCAAAATACAATAGCACTTTAAGTCCGAAAAACAAACTTACCTTAAATAATTCTTCGCTTTCTAACATTGATAAATGTGAACTTCTCTCCACTCCCAAATCAGGCAGGCGCAAATTGAGTAATGGAATTGGTGTGAGCAAAAGTGCAGAAAATAAACCTAAATCTCCCAAAAAATCTCTATCTTCAACTCCCAAAAGTCTTCCACCAAAAGGTCTTACAGTACTAAAGAAGTCCAACCTGACCAAGAAAACACCTGAAAATGATACCAAAATTATGAAAGAAGTGTTAGAGTTCCTTGACCATAGTGAGTCTAAAAGTTGTTCGCCTAGCCCCAAGAAAAGTTCACCAGGATCCAAACAAAGTGAAGGAAAAGATAAGTCAGCATCTAAAAGCAAAAAACAGTTAGAGTTTGCTGATGTCAAGGGCAAAAATGACTCCCTTGACAAAGTGAAAAAGAAGAAGAAGAAAGTAGGTGAATTGGCAATGCCTGAGAAGAAAAACGGAACGCCTGAGAAAGCGAACAAGAAGAAAAAAGAAAATGGTGATGATGGAACATCACCTGTTGGAAACAAAAAACCAAAAAATTCCCCCAAAAAAAGTGTGACTGATGAAAAGAATACCGTCTTGACTGAGTCCCCTTTGGATGTGAAACGTAAAAGAAAACAGCGGACAGACTCAACTGATGGTCCAGAGAAATCATTTACTCCTGTATCTCCTGGGAAAAAGAAAGTCAAAATTAGTTTAAATAGTAAAGAAAAACTGGAATTGGAACCATCTAGTCCTCCCAAAAAGAAGAAGACAAGTTTCAAAAGTGGTGGAGATGTCTCCAATGAACTACACATTGAAACATCTACGAAAGCAAAGAGAAAATCCGAGGGGAAGAGTCAGAAAGGGTCAGATTTTGAAGAAATTGAAAAACCCCCTCCAAAGAAAAGGGGGCGACCGAGAAAAAGTGAAGAGTCCAAAAGTACTCAAAAAGAATCCATAGCTAAAGAATCAGAGAAAAGTGTTAGTTCCCAGGGCAAAATTGACAAAGATCAGAAACAGAAAGAAGAGACAGAAACAATTGATCTGAATAGCTCATCTGACTCTGTTTTCATTGACGCTTCGCAGAAGTCCAATGATGGTACAAAATCAGTCAAACCAAAGTCTGAATCAGATAACGAAGAAAAAAGGCACTCGCAAACAAAATCTTCCGAGGAGAGCTCACAGAAAAACAGTTTATTCAAATATTTTGGAAAAGTTGACAAGACGTACATGAAGAAAGAAGAAAGGAGTAGTTGCCTGACCACACGAGCTATTATCCACTCTCCACCGGTATCTCCAAGTAAAAAGAGAAAGAGCACCGAGCCACCGTTCTCCCCTCGCCGAAAGAAACTTAAGACTATGCTTGTGGACGCAGACAAAATAGAATTGTTGAGTTCTGAGGTCGTACCAAACACTGAATTTGAGAATTCTAATGACTCAGACTCAGAAGTTACAAAAACAGCAAATGACAGGGCAAAAAGCAAGGGAAAGAGTCCGAAGAAGTGGTCCATGAGGGTTAAATTAGCTGTACAAAGCCCATCAAAACCAACAGTCACAGGTATGAATATGAATGATCATTTCTTGCTCTATGTTCCTTTTGTTCAGTTGAATGCATTTAACAATAATGAATTTGAAGTACTCTTTGCTCATCATGGTAAACTATCGCATTGAAAATCGCTTGTGGCTTCTGTGCTTTACTGAATTCAACAGGCGGTATGAGCAAAATTCGCTTAAGTATTTCTTAATGGAGCTTTAATAATTAATGTTGTGGCCAATGTAGGCACTTTTTGTGGTCAGCCAGCCATGAATATGTTGGAGCCTAGACAAACTTTTTTGATTGAAACCTCCTAAAAATTCCTAGAATGGGTTCAATTGTGGGAGGAAAAGCAAGGAAAATGTGTAATCGGTCAGGAAAAGCTTGATTCTTAGGTGCCAAAAGACATCCGATACTCATCATATATTGTATCAGAAAAACTATCTCTGCCCCTGAAAAAAACTTAATAACATTTAAATACTGACCAAGTTGGCCCCTATGCTTCATGGTTAGTTTCGAACACAGATACTTGAATCTTTCCCGAGTCTTCAATTATCAACAACAGCTCCTATCCCAATTAGTGCAAATATTCCAAATTAAATTTATTTTTCCTCTTTTTTATTCTTATCAAATTGAAGTGTGACTTATTCAAGATGATTATAATTTAACGCTGAATGTAGGAAAGGGAGTTGAGTTCCTGACTTTACAGTGAATTCCTCTTTTGACATCCTGTGATGGCGAAAATAACACTTTGATCGCTGATTGAATGAGTCACTACACAGAGATGCAATTATTGCATGTTGAAACCCGAATCAATTCCACTCTTTCAATGATTTTGACCAAATTTAGAAGGTGGAAAGAGGAACACAAATTGAATGAAAATACCAAAAGAGAATTTAAAACATTTAACAGCTCATAGCTCTATGTACTTCTTGCTGTAGGAGTTCAGCTTCCAACCCATGATCTGTTTCAGCTGAAGGCTTAAATAATTCATGTTCCAAGGCAATCTAAAGTAAGAAATGTCAAATACATTAATCTCCCATGTTTCTATCATGTCAACTAAGATTGATGAAATCGGGTCCTCTTAACAGATAGCAAGAGTCCAGAAAGCAGTCCTGAAAGCAAGGTCAAAAGAAAATTATTTGGCAGTCAGCAGAAGTCTCACGTTAAGGATTCAGATGAGGGCAGCACTGATTCACATGATGTTGAAGTTATTGAGGAGAAGGCTTCTTGTCCCAAGGTCAAAGGCAGTGAAGTTGAGAAGGTATCCAACACATCCAAAGATGAATCAGCAAAAACCTCCGCCAGCACTGTCAAGGAAAGTGAAACACCAAAACCGCCAGGTAATTGGCTCATCAGAATTTGAAATGTATATTAATCTCATGAAATATTAGCACTGCTATGTTATGCCTATGAAGATCTGTATTCAGGAACTGGTGAACCAGCAACTTTTAGAATGAGCCATCACAGTTTTAAGCATTGTACATGGGATCGAAAAAGTGTAAAAAGCAACCATTCAATGGGGGTTTCAAAAGTAATAATTATTTTATTTCTATGCCATGTCTTTAAATAGAAACAGTGATATTTTGATGGCTGAATGTGGAAAATTTGTTCGTTGCAAGGTTTATAAATCTCTGATTACGCGCTATTTTCTTCAGGGGAAACTAGTCAAAAATTTTCCTTGCAATTTTGTGTGGTTTTTGTTGCTAGAGTAAGTGAAGAAAATTAACAGATTTCAGCAAAAAGTGTTAGTTGATTTTCCCTCAAAGAAAGGAAACACGAATAGAGACTTAAAACGTCACAAATTGAAGTATGCATTTTTCGACCTCAGTCGTCAACTTGACATTTGTAACTAGAGAGAACAAGAATAGTAAAAAATCAATTTTTGAGATTACCCACATTTTGACTATATGCTTGGGTTATTGAAAATATCGTTAGAAGTAATACCAGAAACTTCAAAGTACACACGAATATTTTTTTTCTTTTTTCTGTTCACTTTGGTCTTAAGAAAACTTGGCTTTTGAATGATTGTGTATCTGTGTATAGTAAGTGTATAAAAATTAGAAGTTTCTTTCGCAAATTTAAAGTGATTCGTTCCGGGCCTTTGGCATGGTCGAACTGGCGTGTGATTTATCGCATCAATTAAGTAAAATATCTCAACAGATTTTAACTCTCTAGCCAAAATAAGGCCCTGTGCATGAGTTTAAAAAATCATCTTCTACCAACAAAATCGCAAAATTTAGAGCAATGAAGGTAGGAATTTTCTTTGAAAGATATGTCACATACAATCCAGAGGTCCTTCAGAGGTCTGTTGAGAGTTTTACTTAATCAGTGTAATATATTGCATGCCAGTTCCCATGGCAAGAATTGGGGGCAAATCACCTGAATCTGAAAAGCAAGCAGAAAAATTAGTTTTAGAGGTATCATTTTAGTATTTCAATAAGTCTGCTGACCATCTTTTATTCTTATTACCTGTTCAGGAGATTCTCAGAAAAACGTTTCAATGTACACTGAAGTTTTTAGGAAGGCAAATTAACCATGTCGCAGTACGATTTTTTAGAAAGAAAGCTGATAATACTCGTGTGCCTTTGTCCTCTGTTTCACACTGACGGAGAATAGGCACTAAACCAATAACACATATTTTAATGCTGTTGTCTATGTTTTTCTTCTTTTTTTTTGTTCTAGTTAAGTTGGCTTCAATTTTTTTGAAAAAGAGCACTCCGAAAGTGAATACATCTAATTCCACTTCAGCAGATTCGCCAATAGTCATAGATGATGAAACGCTTCAAGCAAAGAAGGAATTTCTATCCAGTGGCGTTCCCGATATAATTAAGCAGAAGACTGAACAGTTGAAGGCGTAAGATTTTTCATTATCCTGATTTTCCTTCCTCTGTATCTATCAGTTCATTGTCCTTGAAATTCTCTCTACCCTTCTGTATGTATTAATTGACAAGGTGCAATCTGAGTTTTTATTTTTTTTAAAATGTGTTCTCATTTACAGTCAGTGTGATGCAGTCACATTGGCGACTGTTTTGTAAGTTTTAAGAATTAGACTCTGAAACTCACTCTTTTGAAATTATAGGTAAGGCAAGTACTATGTCTTTAATTTTTAGAGACATGGATGTTAATTATCTTAAAATTTCTTTCCGAAGCTGAAAGCTTTATTCTCCTTTTTTTAAAACGAAATGTACCCGAGTGAAATCACTCTCTTTTTAAACAAGTTGTGGTACCAATTCCAATCATGAGGGTCAAATGTGGGAATAGAGTTGTGTTCGACTGCTCATTCTGGTAATAATGAGACCCAATGAGAATCAACTAGGTTTGATTTCTGAAGATCAGAATGAGAGGCAGGAATCCTTAGTTTTTATTTGAATTATAATACTGCCATGTTGAGGGAAATTGCTGAAGGAACTTTCAAATATTGCCAAATTGCCCTTGATAAAATATTTATTTCTGCGGAAAGTTAAGACAATTTGGCCCTGAAATTTGTAGATATTTTATTGGAAATTAAGCAACAATATTCTAAAACAAAACTGGAAGAAAAATAACCTTAAGCTTTCCAGAAAATTTGTATATTACCAAGGGAACTTTGTTAACGTCTGACGGCTCACTCAGCGTTTTTCCATGGCATGCCAGTATAGCGTTTTATACATATTACATTCTGTAGTTATTACTCCAATTATTATTTACTTAACATGAATTAAGTTTAACGATTTGAAATGACAAGTAGATATTACTTTGGGGTAACTTTCCTATCAAAACAAGTTCTTTTTTATACTTGGAAGCAAAAGGAAATAAAAGAAAGAGAAAGAAAAAGTTCTGACTGCAAATGTTTCTCGAAATTTGTACATAATATCACCCTGACTATTGTGCAACTTACGGTTTGCACGTAAAATGTAACGTTCATAAGAAGATTCCTATGCAGATTCTTAGAGTTTGTAATCTTTGCTAGATTGCGGTAACACTATTTCATAGTTCCTTTTTGTGTAAATGTAAGTTCTAAGCTGGTGTGTGGTTAGAATTTTTTAATATTAATGATGACTGACATAATATTTCCGTACTGCTTAGTTCCACTATTAATGATTGTTGTCATATTTTAGTCAACTTTTTTGTTTTCTGATGATTGTACCGCACTGATGCACTAGAATTAAAGCAAAATTATTTTACTCATGAATGTTTTTAAAATCATTTGTCTTGCTTTATTACGCATCATTTGAAGCGGAAAGAACAAACTACGTACACATTCGTAAGTGATATTGACCTCAACTGTTTCATTTTGAATTCGAACAAAAGAACTTTTTTTAAAAAATTTTCTTTGGCAAAAACTTGTGACAGTTTCATTTTGAATGAAACTCAGTCCCTAATAATGAAAAAAAAACTTTAATCAATGGTTTTTATACTCTGAGCTTGTTACTGAAAAGACCAGAATAGAGGTGTCATTTTGATACTTGCCATAAATGTATTGATGATGTTTCCGTCATCTTTGTCAGATTTACGTCTCGGAAAGGTTTCACAATTGAATTTCATTTAATCAGTATAGTAGCCATTGATTTCTTTATGATACGCTCTTTAGCAGCTCAGTGATGCAACGTAACGCCATTCAGTAAACCAAGTGTAACTTAATTGCAACATCTCATGTCCATTGTGAGAGAGAGAGAAACCCTGGGGAAGTTATGGCCTCCAAAAATGGTTTGAATGACACCTCTTCAGAATTTGAATTCAAGCATCAATATTTATACATCTATTTACTGTTATTTCCTAATGCTGACTCTTTTTAAAATTATTACGTATAAAATTGCGCGTGCCAATATTTTTGGGTCAAAAGAGACATTGACGGTGAAAGTCGGCAATCACATAACTCGTTTGCGGTGTCTGAAAATCTCCGCCTCTACGTCCTTTTTTTAAAGGAGAGCAAATTGACATTATTTCTTGAAGTTTTTGCAGAATTTTCTTCGCATTGAGAAGAAAAAGCATGACTGTTTTAAAGAATTGCCGTTGAGTAGTTTTCCATTTAAAAAATAATGTATGACAGGAAGTCTGCGACGTCGCAAACCGAGTTATGTGATTGCCGACTTGCACCGTCGACATGTATTTTAAGCATTACAAGCAGTTTGATTTTTCCTCTAAAACTTTTAAACCTACTTTTTCGAAATGGCCTTCAACTTGAAAAAACAGGCACATATCGACGGTGAAATTCCTTTATCACATATCTCACCTGCAGTGTTTTAAACTCTCTGCTCCCATTTTACTCTTTCAAATGAGAAAAAAAAGTCATCATCATCATCATTCCATAAAGTTTTCGCAAAATTTTCTTCATGTAGAGAAAAGATCTGGGAAGTTTTTCAGAATTGACGCTAAGTAGTTTTCCATTAAAAAATTAAGTATGACAGGAAATCTGCAACGTTGTAAACCAAAATACACTGTATGGGAGTTTCACCGTTGATATGTATATCTTGACCTGAGGATTTTTAAATGTGTATCACAATTGAAATTTCAATTAATTTATCTACCTACTGTTCCATGTTTTTCAAAACGTATGTAATAAATTTTTACGCATTTATTATTTTGAAAAATGAATCAAGTAAGATACGAAAAAGAATGGAAATCTAGAAAATCAAGTGAGTATATGCAGCAACAGGGTATTAATATTCATAATTCAACACATAATAGCTTCTGCTAGAATCCGTAAAGGTGGAATCGCACTAAGACCCTGCAGTTTAGATTCCCTTCGATTGAATATGTATCTGATAAAAGATCTTTTTTCACGATTTGGAAATTTTCTACCATGCCCCTTGCCCCGGTGGTGAAGAATCTTTGTTCGTAAACCTCTTTCTAATGGATAATTTCTGGTTATGCTGTCAACAGCAGCAATTATTATGGAATATGTAATTAATCATGGTTACAAACTTTTGCCATCTCTAGTCTAAAAATTGATAGGGATGCATAATTTTTATTTTGTGAAGAGAAATAAGTTTCCTCTGACACTTTAGAATAGCTTTGAAGTATTTGTCCAGAATACCATCATTCATTTTTCTACAACAATGTAAACTGTATGGAGGCTCCTAAGGAAATAATTTGTTTAAGGAATGACATTTAATACGACCTCATATTTTTCAGTGCGAATGAGTTCTTACCTAATTATTATATACAGATGATAATAAGCTATCATCTGTACGTGTTCTATTTTTTCCAGTTTGTGTGTGTTGTTTGTTAGACATTTTGTCGAGTCGTAGTGATTTGTAACTTTTTGTGATGGAGATACAAATCTTGAATTGGCAAAGTAAGTGAATCAGTCTGTAATTAGTCTAAGAGTGCTGGAATTTTGCTAATTCATTGCAAATCTCCTGTCTCCGTAAGACTTACACAAAGAGATGTAAATTAATGAATTTGGACCAACATTGCAGGTTTCTACCGTCCAAAGGAGAATTTACACTGCATTAAAAATTTAGCAATAGACTAATTTATTGGCTAAGTCATTTGACTCATTTGATGTTTTCCAGAAAAAATGGATTGTTATGATGATATCGCTTTGCCTTGCTTTATAAGGGCAAAAAAATGAAATGAATATATATCGAATGATATAGCAACTAAATAGGTCTATTAAGAATAATTTTTATTGCACCTGTGCCTCCACGAAGTAACTGCATTTGATTTTGATGTAACTTTGCTTGACTCTCATCATGAATTTTTTTTCAGTCAGGAAAAATCTGAAGAAGAGTATTATGTTCCATTTCCGAAGATAAGCCATGTTGGGTACGACAATACCTTGTCTCAAGAAAATGCTTTGCTGGAACTAGGAAAATCCTTTAAACTGAGACCAGACGTAGACTTATTAGAAATTGTGAATGACAGTTTGAAGGAACCTTGGAAAAACTTGATCGACCCTGCTGTTCATGCCCCAATGCTGAATGAAAACATTTCATGGCCCAAATGCAATGATAGTAAGAGACAGACGCGGTATTTAAAGAAGCAGGTAATGATTTTTACTTTGTGGAACATTCTTCTCATCAGTCTCTTATTCAATCATGTTTATAAAAGTTAATTTATTTCGTAGCTGAAGCATACAGCAAGTTAGTGGAAATCACTAAAACCAGCTCTTAAAGTTTCTTAACGTAGTTACATTCATCTCGAAGCTTTGTAGATTGAGCTTACCGAGCTCATATAGAGTACGAAAAATAAAATTAAATCAGACTTTTAACAAGTGACTCTTAATTGAAGAGGTTATTTAAAGTAGGGTTTAGCCGCCAAATTTTCAGTAATTCAGTTCTCGAAGAAATACTATTATTTAAAGGTAGATGCATCTAACCGAGCGATTCTACCAAAATAATTGCTCTTTCAACATCTTTTCTTTACATTATAGACATACTTCAGTGAGGAAAAGGTTAAAGTTTCAAGCCACCTCTCCTAACTCAGGGTGATTCCAAATGATGAAAACCATGAGTTACAGTAAAAAATATGATTTTTAAAATTTTTATCAAACTCGAATCCTGTTTTACTATCATACATCTGTTTATATTAACAGTATTGAGTAGTTTTGTGGAAGAAGGGCATCTATGCCAAAATTCTAAAATTGTTCATTTCTTGCCCAATTTCTTGGACCCCATTCTTGTGACCGTCGTCTTAATGAATATCAGTTAATTTTTCTGAATAGGAATATCGATGGTCCAAGTATGAAACCCTGTCTATCTACTGCAGTGTTTCAAAATTTTTGATCCTATTATATTTTCTCGAAAAGCAACAAGCTAAATAAAGCTTGACATTTATACAGAATATTCTTCTGACAGAGAAGGAAATTCAAGAAATTTTCCTAGAAATTATTCGGGCTGGTTCTCCATAGAAAAAATTAAGTATGATAGGAAGTCTGCAACATCGCAAACGGAGATACATGGTTTTTCACTTTAGCCATTAATATGCAGAATTGTTGGAGAAATCAAGTTGTTTTACGTTTCCTCAAAACTTGGATTTTGGCGATCACAGGATCGCACCCCTTCTCAAATAACCCGCTCGATTAACAAACATGCATCTCTTTTTACATTCATGTCCTTAATGGAGAATTTAATTTGCTTGAGACAGTTTTATTATTCACAAGAAAGTGTTCGATGAATTAAAATTACAGTGTTTTTTATAATTTTTTTCTGACATGGGAAATCAAACTAAGCAAACGGCTAGCAAAAATTAGTGTGAACGGACAACCCTCAGGGTATAGGTTACCTGGACGACCATCCGAGAGCTAGACACTAAGCTGGCTCCCTTCGGAAGACAATTGAAAATTTGTATTGGTGTTTTTGTCTTTATTGTTTTGACATATTGTTTATATTTATTGTTGATTTATATACGCTTGGTTCTTGAGAGCTTGACCAACAAGGCTGTGCCCTAGTTGCCAGTAGAAGAAGAAGTTGATGAGATATTGAAGAGAAACCTTTTTAAACTTAAGAAAATTTACCCCCTTGCACTATCGCATGACAGCATTTCAGATTTAAACACATGCATTTAAGCAGTTCATATAATTCTCTCATAATTCTTCCAATAATTGATCAATTGAGAAACTGAGAATATGCTTGTGCTTAGTTTAAGTCGTAGTTTCCTTCCATTATAAATTCATCAAATTTCAGACACCTGCAAATTGTTCACTTAACATGCATGCTGCTCATTTGCTTGATCCTGAAATGTCCTGAAAAAAGATATTATAATTTTAATTGATACTTCTGCCTCTTCATGACTTTTGCTTTTCGATTTTTCATTGTAGGCAAGCAATTTTCCATTTGAAGTTTTTGAGAAGAAATTGGAAAAAATCTCCTCTGCCGACAAGTCTTCTGAAGTTAAACATGAAATGTGGACTGAAAAATACAAGCCTCAAAGCTCCCAAGAAGTTCTTGGCAACGGCTCTTGTGTTTCTGAACTCAAACGATGGTTAGAAGAACAGAAAGCTTCCAAAAAGAAAGGTAAAGATTTTCCAGTTCTGCCAATTCAAGGATAAACGCTATATGAGCCTATAGACGTTGCAAAATTTCCCTGAACAAAATACAAATTTTCAGGGAAGCAAGCGGATATTTGTCTACCAATTTTGTTGAGAATTTTAATCCTTTTCTAATCTACAGTATTCGAAACTTCCAAGGAAGAGTATTCCTCAATTCCGTCAAGAATGAATTTTCCATAAAGAGAAGATAGACAACATCCTGGTATTTACACAGCATTTTTGCTTAGCACAACAAAATTATACCTCAGTAACTTTTAAAGGGGAAAAGTACAAGAAATTCACCAACTTGATGTGCCCTGGTCGGGGATTGTTTATAGTGAAGGTGAAACTAGACTTGATTGGTGACATTGCAAACTTTCTGCCAAATTTTATTTCATTAAATAAAAGTTGACTGAATTTAATTCATACGTTGAAGTGTGAATAAGGATCAAAAAGTTCTGGGAAATAGCAGTGCTGGGACCAGGAGTAGCAATTTTAAAGAATATTCCCAATAGCCTCAGAAGTTTAAGTGAATAGGTTGCCCATGTGAACAGATGTTGGTTTCTTAATTTAAGCTCTAAAAAAACTGATCTCAGTACAAAATTTTTGGGAAGACTCCCGAAAAAATGTTTGTTCTCAGAAGCGGCAGAGTCCCTTTGCATGATTCTCCTGTCTCTTTGTTGAAATATTTTGGAAAAATTTCACTGCAAAATTATTGATTATTGTCCTCATAGGGAAATAATGTTAGAGAAAGAATTTTTAGCTCTCCTCAAAAATGCTAGTTTTCCTTTCTAACATAACTGTTGTGTTTTGTTACGAAATTTACTTTAGCATAGTCACCAGTTTTTTATGTCTCCGGTATTATTCATTTTAGGAATTTTTGAGCACGCAACGAAAGCCTGTTGGAATTGTCAAGAAAACCCTGAAAGTGATTTGAAAAATAATTTCAGTTTTTGGAGTGTTGTGTCATGTGGAAATATTCTTAATGCTCTTTGATTTTTATTACAGACTTGGATGAGAGCAGTGGTGATGAGTTCGTATCTTCAGATGATGATAGCAGTCTCACCAAGTGCGCTAACAATGTGGCCATAATATCAGGACCTCCTGGATGTGGTAAAACAAGCTCTGTGTACGCAGTGGCAAAAGAACTAGGGTGCCAAGTCCTTGAGCTGAATGCCTCCTGTAATCGAAATGGGAAAAAAGTGCTCTCTGAATTGCTGGAAGCCACCCAATCCCACCAAGTCAAGCGAGTGTCGAATATTCTCGCTGACATGTTCTCCAAAGCGGCGAAGGGAGACAAGAAGAAGAAAAAAAAGAAATTAAAATCAAAAGATCCTGGCCTGGGTCCAGATGCCAAAGTAATGTCAATCATCTTGATCGAAGATGCAGATCTCATTTTCTCTGACCATGATGATGGATTCATTGCAGCTCTGTCCTCTTTGAGCACCATGTCAAAACGGCCAGTAATCTTGGTTTCTAATAGTATTCAGTGCTCTCATCTCAATAAATTTATCAAACAGCAGTGCCTACTTTTGGAGTTCAGTAAACCCTCTTTCTTCGACATGAGTAAGTAGGAACAGAATTTTTCTTAGCATTGTGAAATTTCCTTTTTCTACAAGTGGAAAATTGGTAATCAAGGTGAATTCACAACACAATTCCTCAGAAATCAAAGTGAAACCTTTACTTTGCCTTTTACCTTGCCTTTTGCCTTTACCTTTTTTTATATGAATATCACCTTTTCAGTTTCAGGTGTATAAAAGAACTGTATACAGACAGTTGATTCACTTTTTGAAAGATTTTTTTGCCACTCATAGCTCCCTACAAACACTTTTAAGCGCTCAGCCAATGGAGCGCGCATATTGATTTAAACCTGCCCATAGAACTCCAGTATACTAGTAGCAAGTGTTATCAAATGGCGCACCGGCTCATTCAGATCTCACTGGATAGGGGCCTCACATATTTAGAATGGATTAATGTGTGATCTAATACTTCTGATATTGAACCATGGAGGACTATAATCTTTCTCCTTTAATTTATTGGTTTTACGGTAGGGTAGTTTTCTTAAAGTTGATCTTTGCAATTTTCATTGAGGTGAGTTTTCCTTTCATCGGTGCTCATCTTTGTAAGTGAACTTAAAAACGGGCCTACCTTGAAAATGTTGTTATGATAATGCCGTCAAAGCAAAAATCAATATGCATCATGTCAGCTGAGTTTTGTTAGATTTTTTCATTACCTCCAATGCGCCATCAATTAATAAAAATTGTATTTTTCACTTTAAAAGCAGACTGACAGCTGAGCGCTTCTCTAATATAAACATATTAGAACTTTCTTGCTCGTTTTTTTCTCTTTTTTTTCTCTTTTTTTATTTTATTTTTTTATTTTCTTAGCTGAAGATTCCAGAACTCATGTACAAAACCTCATTAGCTTACTTCGTGTTGATGTACTAAAAAATTGAATTTGACTTAAACTTTCTCTGAACTCAGGCAGTTTTTTTTTATGTTTTTGGAAAAATGATGTCTGATAGTAGAAGTTTCAATGATCAAATCAACTCTTCAGCTTAGGTTGAATTTTGAAATGGAGAGTGGTTGAATGTGCCATTCTGTGTGCTGTGCAAACGCTCTCATTTTGGTTTATTGAATGATCATTGTCATCGGTTCGCTTAAATAACACTTTGTAACAGTGCTCAACTTTTTCCTTGTGCGCAGGAACCTTCTTGCAATTAATAGCTCTCAGTGAAATGGTAGAACTGCCTAAAGAGGATGCTGAAAGAATTGTCTATGAAACCAGAGATTTAAGGCAAGCAATGCTGACTTTACAGTATCATCTGATCTCAACCTTTAAGCCTCAAGTAAGTGCAGTGATCTTCGCATTGTCCTTTATCTTAAATAATGATGAGTTTTCTGTGTCATAGAGGGGACCCTCAAGTAAGTATTTCAATTGTGAGGTAGTTTAATGGTTTTGCCAAAGTACATTTAAAACAGCGAGCATCAAACCACAATCTGTTCCTAGTAATTTCTGATTCATTGCCCTATAAAGTAGAAATGTTGTATGATTTCCCACTGCCGTTAGGGTGAAAATTTCTTCTTCTATTTTATTGCCTGCGGAGACACTTAGCTGGGAAGTCCTCATCTTGATAATTGAACAAGCATTGTTCCAAGCATCACGCTCACTATCTAGATCAAAGTGTGTCAAAAAGTACCATTGCATTCTCTGAGGTTCTTTGCATTATCATAGCTCCACAGTCCCTTTGAAAGAGCATAAGTTAACAAAACTATAAAGGTCTTCAGCAGATTGAATATCACTTTTTTTTTGTGCATTTTCGCAATATGTCAAAGCGGCAGGGGTGTTTCTTGAAGTATGGATATTCAATTTTATCGAAACAAAATGTGCAAGTCAAGATGTTAAGTCTGTTGCTAAAGTCTGACATCTGGAAAAATTATTCAACTTTAATTCCAACAGCCTATAAATTCTGTTTTGATTTTCTGTCTGATTAGGAAAATCTTCAGACTTTCTCACCTGACAAGTTTCAAAGATAATTTGAAAGCTCTCTTGTTCTATTTTACATATGTAGCAAACCTGGGAAAGCTAGCTAACTGAATCCTGGAAATATTTAATTTTTTTTGAATTTTTCATTTGTTTCTAGACTGATTCAGAGGTTGGCTGGCCTCTAGATATTGGAAAACTATGGTGGCAGTGGCCACTTCCACTTTCGATTTCGCCTCTAACCATTAAGACGGTTAAAAAGTCAATGCCGTCACATCTTGATCCATCCAATGAGAAAACGAATGGAAGTGAAGAATTAGTTTCTGGCCATCCTGCAGAACCGTCTATTCCTAGTCATGAAGACTGCCTAAAATTCCATAAATTAGCTTCTTTCATAGATAATTTGGCCGTCGCAGAAGTTTGGTCATCATCACGTTACCATGTAAGTTTCAAATCTCCTTTTTAATTTTGCTAAAATCTTTCTTCTTGATAAATCGAAAACTTGGTAAAGTGGAACATCATCTAATAGCGATGTACTTTTCAGTTCTTTCTTTTTGTGTATCAGAAAACTTTTATCCTCCAATTTTACTCATGACACTATAACCTTTTTTTCCTATCACCATTTGTTATGACCTATGACCTATTTGTTCTGAAAAACTCAAGAAAAAAACCAAGGTCCAAGAACAAAATGCCTGAAAAATTCTAATTTCTCTATATTAAGTATGGTTTTGAATTATTTGAACTAGTCCCAGAAACTTATGAAATTTTTAATTTTCTACTCAAAAAGTTTATGCCAGTAGGTTATGTGATAGCCTACTTGAGTGATAACTTTTATAACTCGTGTATTTTGCATTTATATTTGTTAAAGTCAATGACCAAACCAGCCAATATCAACAATAGCCAACCAATGTCGACGATGGCTAAAATAGCAAGCTAATGTTAAAATTATCTGCCATCCCAGCCCTGAACATTTCCTTCACATCGCAGTTGGCTCTCTCAATGGATTCTCAAGGCTGGGTGTGATGGTTCATTACACCACTGTATGATCATTTGCTAGTAGTCATTTGCCAAATTGTCCAGCCATTGTTGACAGTGGCTAGCTGAGGACGACAATAGCCGAAGTAGCCAGCTGATGACATTTAATTCAGAGCAAAAATTTTAGACTAATACCTTGGCCAGCCCTCTCATTAGTCAGCGGTGCAAACTCAAGTCCCCAATAAGTCACCAAGCCTCTTCAGTTGTAAGGAGGAAAAGTTCCGGAGTTTCAAAAATTTGCCCCTAAATTCTTAATTACTCTACCACTCAGGGATACCTAACTAAACAGCGTGAAACAACCAAAAACCTAGTTGTCAAATCTAGTTTTATGAACACATTAGTATATCTTTATTTTGTCTTATGCATCCTCTTATAAAATTATTCTGGACCTTTCTTTCTGTTTTAAGACCATCAAATCTGAAGACCCTAGTCCCAAAGCATGGCATGTCAATGCAACTGATTCATGTCTCCTAAATGAGAGAACAAATCACGAACATGCTGGCCATGATTCACTCTCAGTAGTCCTTAGTCATGAATTTATATCAAGAAATGCCAGGTATTTGGACATGAAACTTACCAACTGCGTCCAGAACGGCTTGTCTCCCGATTTGGTCAGGTAAATATTTTTGAATAGAATTTTCCTAGTTTTACTTTCTTTTAACAACCACAAAAAAAAGAAAGAAAAGAAAGACTCAACAACTCCCAATATTGTCTTTTTTTTCTATCTCAAATTAGTACCTCCCAAAGGCTAATCCTGCTCTTGGAGTTAAAGACTCAACCCCCTCTCAGTCTTTATTTCACAATCAGCCTAAGGCAATATTTGTGAAATCACCAAAATCGAACGGCCTGACTGGGAAATGAATCCAAATTCAATCAGAAATAATAATATAATCTGTAAAAATCTTTTGGTCCATCTGTCTTTATTCTATTCACTGTTATACGGAAACCTTTGCACAACTAAAAATTAAATTAGCATCTCAAACATATTTTTATAATAAAGGAATGCAGTAAGCACCCTTCTACAGTGGAAGTCATTGTCTAAAAGGCCGAGGCAGAGGTGTAGAAAATTACTGATGACTCACCTCGGTAGACATGCAAAAATGTGGGAGGGTAAAATTTGAAGACCAATATTTAAATTTTTTTAACTCTCGGCTTACGAAATTTATAAGAATCGAAAGTCGAAAGTAAACGAAAAGAAAGCATCATCTTTAGGAACAGGGGAAAATTTTGTGGAAAGCTGGAAGGTGAGCATGTGAAAGTTCACAAGCATGGAAGCTTCTGCACCCATGGGCAGGAACATTTATGGGCATTTCACTAGAAATTTTTTTGTAAGACTGTTAAAGAGGCCAAGGCTAGAGCATATTTATGGAGAGAGTACAGACATGGCGAAATATGGAGCTCTTAGGGCCTAGAAGGGCAGCCAACCTTCCCACATGAAAAAAACTAGAAAAAAGGTGCTGCCAATTTTCAGACTCCAATATCAAAGCAAAAAGGCCAAGAATGTTTTTAAGTAAGCGTCCCTCCGCAAAAGTGAGTTTTATGCAAAAACTTAGTCAAGTACCTGCTTTACAAACAACATGTTGTAATAGTGGAGAATTTGCATGCAAATTTTGTATTGTTTCATCTGAAAGTGCCTGAAAGCTGATTTTGCAGTATTTTTTATAATTTTTTTCTGACATGGGAAATAGTATAAAAATAGATTTAAAAGTGAGAAAATGCACTGCCTAGCGACGTCATCTGGTGGCATTTCCCATTTAAACACATGTATTTTAGCAGATTAGGTTATCTTGTCGTATCTCCTCCAATAATTGTTCGATCTATGAACCAAGGGTATCCTCGTGTTCAGCTCACTCGGTGACATCCACTTTCACACGGAATTTATCAAATTTCAGACACCTGCAAATTCTCCATTGTAATAATAAATCATTCTAGACAATTTGAGTTCGTTGGTTGGCTTCCATAACTTCAGACATTTTTTCACAAGACATACAAAATTTCAGACTTTTCCGCAATCTCTCCACAAAGGTACTCTAGCCAAGGCTTGTGACCCAATATTGAGTGGTCAGTGAGAAAATTTTTATTTGAAACAGGGCGGGAAAAAATGGAAGGGGAGGCCTTTAAAGCCTCAAGGACTTGGCCGTTTCTAAATGATTTGTTGTTTTAAAGACTTGATGGGATAGAATAGGTGGAAATATAGAATACCCAGGAAAATATTTCAAATACAATCGCAAGAAGATGATGAAAAATGTACCTCTTGGGAACATTCAGGGAAGTGAAGAAATTTTTGGAAAGTAAGTAAGGGAAAAAACTCCATATTGGGCAAAATGTTCTATGATTTTGAACTTATTGCACCCCTGTAGAAAGAGTTGATGACAAGAATAACCAAAATTAATCGAAATGAAAAAGTCAAAAATTATATTTGATTTGCTTATATGATTTTTTTGCTATCTGCAGCTACTTTCAAGTTTTTCTCTGTCTATTAACAATTTCACGAAGAATCTCATTAAATTTTGTTCCTACTTTTCCAGATGGAAGAAGAAGCTGCGGAAAGTGGAGGAAATTCTCTTAACTGGGCTCCCAATTCAGGAACAAATCGAACGAGAGTCTATTTTCTGTGATTATTTACCTATGATAAGATCCATTAGTCGCTCTGAGTGTGTAAGACTCGCTGGTAATTCCAAACGCTCCAATAGATTTTTCAATTATTTATCCAGTTTGAACATGCATCCTGACGAAAGCCAAAGAACCCTTATGTGCAATTCATTTGTTGTTATGAATGAAACGAAATCGAGTTCATGAGGCATTCTCATCCAAATACGCATTCCCTCAAGGATCTAGTATTTTGAAATATCAGTAATTTGTCTTGAAGACGAAGAACAAGGAAAGAGCTGTGTGTAGGAAGTACGGTTTTTAAGTTTGAGTCTCAGCTTTTTATTTTTAGGTAAGATGACGCCAATGTCTAGTTAATTCTGCTGCCTCGTAGCATGGCATGTCAGTCCTTTTTATGATTAGGCATGTTTCAGCACTTTTTTAATTTTTCTCCTGCAAATTTCTCTTTCTCAATTGCTGATTTTCTTCTTTAATCATGGGTCAATCTTCTGTGCCAAACAATTCTAATAATCTTGAGAAGGTACAATACTCTTTGAAGAAAAAATGCTAATCATTGAACATTTGTTAGATCAATTTAGATTGTCTGAAAGATTAAGAAAATTGATACCGTAAAAATACTTTTGTACCAAATTTTACATGTATATTTTATTTGTTAGCGTAGGTGATGTATAGATCAATTGTTTGAGAGGTAAAGTATTTTTTAACTCAACGAAAAGTCGCATCGTTTCAATTTTAGTGTGAATGGATATGAGTTATCATAGTAATTTTAGATGTTTGATATCGACTTGAAATTTTAGAAGTTCTGTCAATAGTATGCATACAAAAAAAAGGATAGGCACATTTTTGAATTTCCATCTCTTGAACTTTCCAAGATTCTGAGTTTCTTTGATGTTGTGCTTGTACTACTTAGTTGAATTATTTTTTTAAANGATTGTCTGAAAGATTAAGAAAATTGATACCGTAAAAATACTTTTGTACCAAATTTTACATGTATATTTTATTTGTTAGCGCAGGTGTTGTATAGATCAATTGTTTGAGAGGTAAAGTGTTTTTTAACTCAACGAAAAGTCGCATCGTTTCAATTTTAGTGTGAATGGATATGAGTTATCATAGTAATTTTAGATGTTTGATATCGACTTGAAATTTTAGAAGTTCTGTCAATAGTATGCATACAAAAAAAAGGATAGGCACATTTTTGAATTTCCATCTCTTGAACATTCCCAGATTCTGAGTTTCTTTGATGTTGTGCTTGTACTACTTAATTGAAATATTTTTTTAAAATTTTACTGTGCAGTAATGTTTGTGATTTTTTAAGTACTCGTAATTGTATTTTAGTCAATACGAACTCATTTTCCATTCAATTTTAATGCGTTGTCATTTCAGTGAAGTGTATACCATACATCCTAGATAACATAATGAAAGTGTAACCCACAACATTATCAACAGGGTTCACAATGACATGGATTGCATTTTGCTAAAAGGAACCAAGAGCATTCCAATGTTGGTAAGATTGTGTATCTTGTATTCATTCATTCAAATTACTGAAATCATGCAAAAATTTAAATTTACAAATGTAGTTTTAGTCTTTAAGTTATAGTTTATTGGAAGTAAAGAGAAAATTAGTTCAGATAATCTGTGTATATTTGCAAGGTAAACAAACTTGCACAATCTTAGCGACATTGGAATGCTCTTGGATCCCTTTTGAAAAATGCAATCCACATCATTATCTGGAAATACTTCGAAATGGTCAGATATAGCCATAACTGCCGAAAATGGCAGAAAAATGAACAAAATGACCGAATACAGTCAAACCTAGATGGAACAAACAGCATGGAATTCGGATAGGTAGTCGCCGTCAGTAGGAGAATGAAAACAGTGAATAAAGTAGGAAATTGAAATTATTTTGCGTTACAAAATAATATTAAAAGAGATAAAAGGGGAAGAGTTTCCTATGGAGCTCTTGTATGTGTCAGGGACTTGCAATTGAAGGACTCTCATATGTAAAATTTTGCAAGCAACACGATGGTGCCTCTGGTTTTCTTTGAAATCAACTAGCAAGCCCTAGAAAGCTCTCAAAGTTCAGGGCGTAATTGGGGGTATATCTCTTCCTACGTTGAGAGTCCACTTCCGTACCTAGTTAAACTCTCCAAGCACAGAGTGGGAGCAAATACATTAGCAGGGTTGCCATTTTGTATGCAGATTCTGAGACTGTAAGGATCTGGAACTGTAAGGGATCTTCTCCATCACGGTTTCAACTCAAAGAGCTTTTTTTGAGCTTTGGAGTTCGTCTCAGAAAAAAACCAGTGTTACCATCGTGTTACTCACGAAATTTTACGCACAATGAAGAACTTACATCTCAAATCCGTGACAAATGCAGAGCTCAATTGGATTGCATTTAGCAGAAAGGAACCAGCAAGCAACACAGTTTTTTAAAAAAACATGCAACTTCTTTTCTTTTAAGAATACTTGATGTGTGTACAGAAGTCAAATTTACACAATTATTTTTCTTTAAATAAACAATTTTTCGGTAGTAAGAGAAAGCTATTTTTTATTTTGGGAGATTTTTTAGATAACTATTAAGGAGCAACATTTTTACAACACTGTAATTACGCTGGCTCCTTTTTGCTAATTACGATCCAATTGTGGGTTACGTGATTTATGAAGTCCCGAGAAACAGATTTTTTTCCTTAAAAAAAAAAAAAAAAAAAAAAAAAAAAAAAGGCAGTGGCACCCCATGCGGCCGCATACTTCTTTTATACGACAGGATTGTCCTGGTTAGTGTGGATTTTACTATAGTTTCAGCATCATTTAGTAATCATTTTGTGCAGCATAAAAATACTGCTCCTTGTTCATGATGAAGATGTACTGATATCGTATTGTCTTCATGTTATTCAAATTTCATAATTCTGTTCGCATGCTGCCGTCAACCTAACATCTTATTGACTACCGATATCAGTATGAAATCACGTCGCCCCTTGTTCTAGGGGCTAGGGGCTCGCTGCCGCTCTCAAATTTCAGGCGACGCACAGTAAATCGAGTCAATCAGAGAGGTTGGACATGAAATTTTTAACTAAAACTCCAAATTTTCCCGTTTATTCCGCGTCACATATGAATTATTGAAGGATGCTGCTAGAAGACAATTTCACGAGAAAACCAGTGGAACCACTTTTAAAATATCAACGTGTTGTATAAACGGAGCTATTTAGCTTCTGAAGTTTCCAAATTTTGTCCGACCTCTCCTATTGACTCGATCTACCGTGCGGCGGTGGCTTCGCTGAGTTTCTCGTCCAAGTAGCATTATATTGCCATCTACTTTCTAAGTGGCGCTCATCAAGAAAATGTCTACTTTCTAGATAGAACAATCTCCTTGAAAGAAAATAGGTATAAAGTAGATCTAGAAAATAGACACAAGAAAATACATTTTTTCCTTGCATTTTCTTAAAAGAAAACATCAAGAAATTGGCTGGAAAATAATTCTTCTTTCAATAAATTTTCTATATTTTTTCCAAATGGAAAGTTGACAGAAAGAAGATCTATGAAATAGATCTATTTTTTTTTTTTTTTTGGTCAGACTTTTGACTCGCAAAATGTTTTTCTTTCTATTTTATAGATAGGTAACTCTCATTTTCTTGGTATTTTCTAGAAGTTTTCTCAATATTTTTTTTTTCTAGGAAAAAATTCTATTTTGCTACTTGGGAGATATCGCCGGTGAAACTCGCAAACCACGCATCTCGGTTTGCGACGTTGCAGACTTCCTCAAATTCCTAATCTTTTAATTGGAAAACTTCTCCATGTCAATTTCCAAAAACTTATGATGTGATTTTTCTTCTCTGCGCGAAGAAAATTCTGTGAAAACTGCAAGGCATGACTTTGACATGTTCTCCTCCAGAAAAATAAAACAGGAGCGGAGATTTTTCAACATAGCAAACGAGATGGTCTGGGAGTTTCACCGTCGCACAGTGGAATGAGTCAATAGAAGAGGTCGGACAAAAGAAAACTTTAAACGTTCACAACTCCGTTTATACAAAAATTTGAGGTTCTAAAAGTGGTTTTCACAGGTTCTATCGTGAAATTTACTACTAGGAGCACTTAGGGCTGTTCTATCGGTTGTCGGTAAGCTACCGAAACAGTTCCGTTAAGAAAAAGTTACGATAAGAGCGCTCTTGCCGACAGCGATCAGAGTTTTCGGAGCTGACGAAAATAAGCTGTTGCCATTTGTACATCTATTTCACGCGCCGGCCGCCGCGCCAGGCAATCTGATAAACCGACGCACGGGGCAACAGTGCATTGGACTGCATTTTGCAATTTGGAGCTATAAATTCTGGCTCATCTGAAAAAACACTTATGTGCATAGGGAAACTAATGGCTCATACGTTGTTTTTTAACCGGGCGAGAATTTATAGTTCCAAATTGCAAAATGTAGTCCCATTGAGTGCGAGCTCTCAAAAATCCGATAAGGCCGGCTGTAAACGATATCATCGCCACTGTCGGTAATGCCGCCAGTTTCAATAAGAGACGATATCGATGGTGTTCCAACAAGAATTCGTTGGAGCACCCCTAGGAGCACTCCTTAAAATTTAAAATGTGGCGGAGCAAACATCAAAATTTTCCGGTTTTTGTCAAAAATGTCATGTCCGAGTCATATGCTTCAAAAAATGTCGTGTCATATGCCTCATGCTTTTAGAGTGGAAGCGGGGAACAGTTGGACTACATTTTGCAATTTGGAACTATAAATTCTCGCTCGGTTAAAAAACAACGTATGAGCCATTAGTTTCCCTATGCACATAAGTGTTTTTTCAGATGAGCCAGAATTCACAGCTCCAAATTGCAAAATGCAGTCCAGTTTTCCTGGTGAACTTTCGCCACGCCGCACAGTGGATCGAGTCAATAGGAGAGGTCGGAAAAAATTTGGAAACTTTAAACGCTTATAACTCCGTTTATACACAACTTTGAGGTAGGTACTATAACCGGTCCCATTGGTTTCCTCGTGAAATTCTCTTCTAAATTCATCTCTTAAGATTTAAAATGTGACCAAATAAACATCGAAATTTGTAATTTTAGTCAAGAGTTTCATCTCCGACCTCTCTAATTGTGCACCGCACAGTGGAACGAGCCATAATAGAAGAGGTCGGTCACGAAATATTTGGCTGAATTTTCAAATTTTGATGTTTATTTCGTCGCGAATTCAATTCGTAGGGGCACTTCTGCTGGAAAATTTCACGAAAAAACCAATGGAACCACTTATAAGCTTTTTTGTTCCATATTTTAAAAAATA